GGGAGATACAAAGGTCATGCACAGATGTGAGCGTGGTAGGAACTGTAGCAATAATAGATTTTAACCAAAGAGATCAGATCTCTTTACTGGGACACTTTCTACTTGAGTGTGTTATAGCCCAATGACACATTAATTTAAATATATATACACACACAAATAAATAAATAAATATATATATATATATATATATATATATATAGAGAGAGAGAGAGAGAGAGAGAGCAACCCATCACATTATAAATATAGGAGAAGATACTGTACAAGGACCATATTAAATGCCCATCTCAATTGCCCTAACTATGATTTGTCAAATTTCTAGCAAATAAGGTGGAAATATAACATTTCATATATTATATTTGTGACAGACCCAACCAGGTCTTTTGGAAGGGACTGCAGGCTAGACTCTTGCCTACTGATCATGGAGGCTTGATTCATGGCAGGTGTGTGCCTGGGGAGGACTGAGAACTGGAGGACCAGGATATATAATTTGGGTATGTGTGTGGGGACTGTGATAAAACTAGCGTTGACTGCTTCAACTCCCCCACACTCCTAGACTTAGAGACTCTAAGCAGATGTTGATATAATTGGCTCAAAATAACCTGATGCTGAGGACTCTTGCTGTAATCTGTTTATTAAAACATTTACCGTCATGTATTTGTCCCATTGCTAATTGAATTAATTGAGTCACCTATTGTTTGGTCCTCCTGAAGGTTCCTACATGATGGTATTAGTCTGTTGTCAAATTACCTAATCAGTGTGAGATGTTTATCCTAATGTGTAGTATTTGCTTTATTGCTTATTTGGGGACTGCCTCTATTTCTGAAATGTATAAAAACTGGTATTTGTGTTCAACAAAATAGTTCCAGTTGCATCTAAGCTAGTGTCATCTAGTCTTGGGTGCAATGTTTAGCATAATACCTTTGGTCCTTTGTCCCAGAGGTGAGGAAGCAATTCTCTCTTTGTAATAATAAACATTTTCCAGAAAATGAAGTGTATATACATTTTATAAGGAACAATCCATTTCTGTTCCTCAATATTTCATTTCCTTTTCCTAAAAATAATTGTGAGTATAAGCGCCTTGATATGGATGTAAGCTGCTATGCACAAAAAAGGTAACCGATATCACCCCAAAATAATAATCTAAACCAGAGTGCAGCGCTAAAAAAGAGTAAATGCAAATATAGCGTATAAATTATGAATAAAGTGCAAAGAGTTCAAATAGTAATGTACTCCAGACTAAAGTGACTCTTGTGCTCTGATAATTAGAGGGTCCGGTATCCGTGTGATAGTGGTGAAGGTAATGCGCACTCACCGGACGCGCATTAATATGTGCTTTGTATAAAATAATCCAGATGTCATTCGGTGTTGGGTGGTCCTCCTTCTAATATAAGGTGGTGTGGCACCGGTGTAGGTAATCCTTTTCCCTTGAATGGGTTCAAAATTCATGTCCCCGCTCAGCCACCATTTTTTACTTTAAGAAAATGGCGGCTGAAGCGGGGACATGAATTTTGATCACTAGGGGACGCACGCAGCATTGGCATGGCGTGGTTTTCAAACGTCCCGGAAGTGAAGTGCCTATTCTTCTAATGGGTTTTCCCTGACGGGACTCATTGTGGGCAGCTGATAGGTGACCGTTCAGCTGGGCTGAGAGAAGAGTTCGGAGGAATTTAATACATACTACACTATGGGAGTCTCTCTATTACCCCCTGGGGGAGTGCTTTAGTCCACAGACCTGCTCCCTGGACGGATCATTGCAGTACAGAGAAGGTCTGTCCAGAGGGATACCATCCACCAGGAGCACAGGGGAACCCATTCAAGGGAAAAAGGATTACCTACACCGTTGCCAAACCACCTTATATTAGAAGGAGGACCTCCCAACACCGGATGACATCTGTTTTAATTTATACAAAGCACATAATAATGCGCGTCCGGTGAGAGTGCGCATTACCTTTCACCACTATCACACGGTACTGGACCCCCTAATTATCAGAGCACAAGATTCACTTTAGTCTGGAGTACATTACTATTTGAACTCTTTGCACCTTATTCATAATTTATACGCGATATTTTCATTTCCTATTCCTAGCTGATTTGGGCCAATTTTTGGGCTAAAAAACAGATCAATTATAATTGAAAGATTTTAAATAAACCTTAAAAAAAAATTTGTAGTCAATTGCATTCTAAAAACTTCAAAAATCCAACCTAACTTATAATTCTCCATTGACTTTAAAAACAGAAAAGTTTCCAAAATGTCTTTTTTTTCTTTTGCCAAAAAAGCAAAAACTCTTAATAACAATCACCCCTATTGCAGATAGATAATTAGGGCACAAATCTCAGCAGTTCCTGGCCACTGACAGTTCTCAGTACAGGCAGGACTGAAGAAAAGTGCCATAAATTAGGAAAAGTCAGAATAGGTCGGAGGTCTGCAGACATGTGTGGTCAAGGATGAAAAAAAAGGGGCAGGGCAGGCAGAAAACAGAAATTATAAACACAAAATCCATTCTAATTTTTAACCAAGGACAATCAAATATAGCAGATATCTAAGGATGACCAGATCATAGAAGTCAGTAGCAGGGGCCTAAGTAATGGGAAAACATATATTCTGTGAAGCCTTCAAAAATATAGACTTTTGTGATCAATCAGAGAACAAAATAAACTTAGGACAGGCACACCAAAGGTCATGTAGAGTAGGTGTTGGGTTGATAACTTAGAGCTCACAAACTAGTATATAGATCACTCCTGTGCCACATCCCTATCAACAGGAAAACATATGTAGAACAATCTAGCTGGACTTTAGAGGCACCCACAGGACAAAATGAATCAATAAACTTTATTTACAACCAAAAAGCATAAAAGCATGCTTGTTCATGCATTCTAAAAAACAATCCACGGTAAACGTGTCAAATGTATAAAGCAATGCATGCAAAGTACAACATTCAGCTCATTCTTTTGACGACGAATACGCAAGCTAGTCTTCATGAGTCAACGTGTTTCACATATTTGCTTCCTCAGGACGCATGAAGAAACTACCATAGATTGCTATATAAATAGAAAATAAGGTGTAATTGTGCATGGCATAGCAAAGATACAACATGCATACACATATATAACTACATTTGAATATGAACATACAAACATGTTTACACACCTTGCCTGTCTGAATGAGTATATGCAAGCAAATAGTCCCCGGGCGGGCACCTGGGCTACAAAGAGGCCAGGAGGACAAGACCAACAGAGGCTCTTCATAAAGGGCTACAATTACATGCCATGATTACCCATCAGTATACAATAAAAAAAAAACAATAAAAATAAGTAGGAAGACAGGGTAATAAAAGGCATAACATTAAAGTCCTCGAAGTAACTTACTTAAATCAAAAAGGAGGCGTAATCAATGTGCCACCAAAGGACCATAGGCAAGGGAGATGGAGATCCCAATTAAAGATCGTAATCCTAAACATAAGATGGTACGTGTAAGAAAAGGAATACACATAGGACCTGCTGAGAGCCTGAGCCAATCTCTCCCTCCCCCCCTCAGTCCAGAGTTTCAGTAAACATGAGAGGGGGGGCAAAGTAGACAATGGTGACTGACAGACCCCACTCTCTACTCACAGCAGTGGTGAGAACTCGGCAATCAGCGGTCATGTGATTGCTGAGTTCTCAAGCTTTTGGGGGAAAGACGCTGTACACAATTTAATTTGGGTACAGCGTTGCATGACCGTGCAATTGTCAGTTAAAATAACAAAGCGCCGTATAGCAAAAATTGGCCTGGTCAGGAAGGGGGGTAAATCCTCTGGAGGGCAAGTTGTTAATTCACCTCCTCTCTCCCTGTTATTCTAATCATTTACATGATCTAATACTAACCCTGCATAACCTACTGGATGTTCACTAGGTTGTCCGGTAAATCAGAAAGAGTAAAAATACACTAAAAATAAATTTGCAAGAAAAAATACTAGGTGGTATATATACTGTAGGTGGTATCAATATACGTGGTATCAATATACGAGGATTCTTCAAAAAGTTTCTGCACTTTTATATTTTTGTTGGAAACGGTGGGTGGGCAGAATGGTAATTGGTCATGTCTGGGATTGTCATGTGATTAGTCTGTCTGCCTCACAAAGCAAGGTAAGTATGCAGAAAATCATGTAACTTGTTTATGAAATTCTTAATAAATAGAGTAAAAAAAAGTACGGAAACTATTTAAAGACCCCGTGTAATAGTGAACAATGGACCCACAAACCTGTACAGCTTTGTTAGGTTGCTGGTCATCTTTCTGCTTTGTGTATTACAGATTCCTTTTACTGCATCACATTTAAAAATGATAATTGGAACCGGAGCCTATTCTTTTCTTTGGGGTATAGAAAACCAAATTACCAAATAAGATGCTATAACCCATGACAAATTACCACCAATACCCAGGTACCCCCCAATTCACAAACAACTTATGCAATTGGGATAGAAACCCATCCAAATAGACCCCCTCTTGCAACAATAGACCCACCCAACAACAATAGATCCCTGCCAGAAACAATATTTTTTTTCCAGCAGCCAGCATCAGTAAACCCCTTCTTCAACAGTAGACCCCCCCCCCCAACAACAATATATCCCCTACCAGCAGCAATAGATCTCACACAAGAATAAATTCCCCTAAGTGACAACAGATTCCTTAGCAGCCAGCATCAGTAGACCCTCCAACACACCCCAGAACCCCAACTTTTACATACATAAATAGTGGAAGGTTTCTGGAACTGCGTTCCCCCACATTCCTGCTGAAATATGCCATGGTTACATCTATGTTACCTCTGAAAAATGGAAATTCAATAAAAATGATTGATCAAGAACAGAACTTGAGCTTGGAAACATTGTACCAATTTTACCTAATCAACTGCAATCCTTCTTAGCTCTTATCAGCTGCCTTATGGCTTTCTGAACATCTTTGTTCCTCAGGCTATAGATCAAGGGGTTCAGCATCGGGGTGATCACTGTGTAAAACACTGCCACCCTTTTGTCTGTGTCTCCTGAAACCAAATGTTCCGGTCTAACATACATAAACATGGCCGATCCATAGAACATGACCACCACCACAAGGTGGGGAATACATGTGGAAAATGCTTTACTTCTTCCCAAACGAATTGTCATGACAGCAATTATGATTCGGATATATGAAAAGAGGATTAGTGAAAGTGGGATGAAAAGCATTAAAGGCAAGAAAATCAGTTTTATGATGTTCATTACTGAGATGCCACTGCAAGAGAGCCGAAGCAACAGAGGGAGCTCACAGAAAAAGTGGTTGATGGTGTTAGGGCCACAGAAGGTTAAGTTGAATGTAAAATATGTGTCAAAAGATGAAATGACGCAACCAGTCAACCATGATATGCTGACAATACAAAAAGAGACCGTTGTGTTCATGATCATATTGTAATGCAGAGGGATGCAGATAGCCACATACCGGTCATAGGCCATGAATGCCAGAAGCAGACACTGAGTTTGCCCCAAGGTCAGGACAGCACAGAACTGGACAGCACAGCCAGTGAATGAAATACTCTTTTTAGATGAAAGAAAATTTACTAACATTTTGGGTACAATGGCGGAAACGCAGCAGATGTCCAATAAAGAGAGACTAGACAGGAAGACATACATGGAGTTGTGCAAACGTTTGTCAGTCTTCACAGCCAGAATGAGAAGAAAATTCCCAGTCAGTGTGAACATGTAAGCTACCAGGAAAATATTGAACAGCAGGACTTGTATAAAAGGATCCGATGAGAGGCCAAGAAGAATGAACTCTGTCACAGTGCTTTGGTTTTGGGTGTACATATCAATCACTCCAAACTGAGATGAAGAAATATTTTTGGTTCTTATAACATTATCATTTGTTTTGTATTTTTCATTGTCTGGTACATAGATCATTCAACAAACTTTTTACCTCTAAAATTATTATGTATGAATGTCAAACCACAATTGGAATGAAACACTCCTAATAAAAACACAGAGGATTTTAAAGGCTTCATACTCCAGGCAGTAACACAATCAATGTTCATAAAATAATAAATATAGAATTTTATTACAACAAACAACATAAATATAAAAAGATTGGGTCTAAATGATCATAGATGCTTCCACAGATTGAACAAAACACCATTAATAACATAGAAGGATTCTGCAACCCTTACATGGACACTTGTGCATTCCTGATGGTTTAGGCCAACATGTTTTGCAGCATAAAAACTGCTTCGTCAGGGACCTCACTGGAGCATCTACAAAATTAAAACAAAAATCACTATAATACATGGTAGTCTCACAGATACATAAACATAGAAATTTTGCATGACATAGAATACATTACACAATATATACAGCTTACTACACAGTTTTGATGTGCTGGGCATTCATGAACACCACAACCCCCCAAGACCGCCACCCGAAGCGATACACAGACCAGGACCCCCACAAAAATGCAGGGGACAGCATTGGAGGCACTGGACCACATAGGGAGGAGATGGAGACTGCAGCCAGCCAACCCACCACCACTAAAGAGAAGATATATTCACTATTTGACACTGACCAAAATCTCTAACCTATGGAACAAATAACCAAATCCTGATGGATATCATGTAAGGATAAGTACAAGATCCCTACCAATCTCATAACTATCTCTCTCTAAATCCCTTCCAATTTCGTATCCTTCCTCTCACCTCCATGCTTCTTGTCAGCACATGCACTGATTGGCTGCTTCTTCTCACAATCCAGTCCAGCAATAGGTTGATTCTTGGTCATATCTGCTTTAACTTCTTGCATTTAAAAAATACATGTAATTATTTATTATTGATTATGGAGCTGCCTTTAATTTCTGTCTTTTATATCTGCCTAGAGTTTAGTTTTAAATTGTTCCCTGTGCCATAGACAGGTAGTACAGCTTGTGGTAAGAGAGTCTTCTTGTCCTTTTCTTGCATCACATTTACTCTGACATCTGTCTTGACCTTTGTCAAAAAAGATTATTATTATTATTATTATACATTATTTATATAGCGCCAAAAGGTTTGCTCAGCGCTGTACATTATAGTGGGGGACAGTACATGAGACAATACAGTAACAAAACAATACACGAGGGGTTCGGGGGCCCTGCTCTTTCAAGCTTACAATCTAGGAGATTGTATGAAAAGTTATGGAAAGTGGAAAGACAGCGCTGGACCCGCAGGTACACTCCACTGGTATTGTTATCTTAAGATATTATGTTGGTATAAATGATCTGGTTCCTGGGCAGGTGGCTTCTACACCCCAGAGGATCTCCACAGTCTCCCTGGCTTGTAGTGTATTGTAAGAAAAGTTGAAATTGAAGCGCCATGCCACTGGCTGCCAAACAAACTGCTGATTAGGCCTTTGCTTTTAATTCACAATGGAATAAATACCATTGCAGGTCCAGTTCACTCCTGTTCACATTATTGCCAGTCAAGCCCTGATGAAGGGGGCACTTGAACCCTAAAAAACACTTTGGCTGCTTCTAAAATTATACCCCTGACCTTTAATGAAATAAAGTTGTATCTGGACCTCTTAACAGTGGTGTGGGGCTTCAATTTAAATTTTTTTTCTTGCAAAAAAAATTGTGAAAGCTTTGTTCAGGGCTCTCTACAGCAAACATAACAATTGACGTGTTGTTTTACATTTTAGAACTTTCAAAAAATCTTTGTGTGACAACGACACTCAGAAGTTATCATTCTCAGCCTCCATTTAGTCTAATTGACCCATAGGAAAAGCTCAAGTCCACAAGTTTGCTTGCAACCATTGGGGCACATATAGGCTATCTTACTCTCAAATATTTTATTCTGAATGATATATAATGTTTAGTTCATGCTGTAAACAAACCATTTTACAAGCCCATCGTAGCACTAGGACAACTCGAAAAAATTGAGCATTGAGTATTTAAAATCACCTGAAGGCATTTTATTGTGAATAATACATTTTTAATGGAAGACTTATTTTAGAAATAGAAAATTTTAAAAAAATGCTTTGAAGTTTACTTTACTTTTAACATGAAATAGTAATAAATATTATAATGAGAATGATAACAATAATAATGCTGCTCACAATTGTTCCTTTTTGTCTTGATATTTCAAAAAAAGATGTCATTAGATCCGTGTCTTTCTGCAGATTGCACTACAGTGCAGCAATACATAAATTACAGCGGTTTTTATTTAGTATTCAGCGTCTCATGAGTGTGTGTTGCTTAGTTCCCCAACGTCCCCAAAGTCCTATGTGTCCTTGCGGCATATTTTTTGCATTTTAGGGAATTGATTAACAAACATTTTCTAAACATTATCATTGGTTTAAAAAAAAAAAAATAGGTTTTTTTTTTGGGGGGGAAAATATATTAAAAAGTGTGACATAAAAATATAACTAAAGCTATTTTTTTTTTTAATTTTGGAAGTGGCAAACCACTTTCATTGTTTTTTTTTTTTGTCATTGTCATTCATTCGCTAGATGTTCCCTCTCTGCCAGTTCTGTTAGTCAGTTTTCATGGGAACAAGTGTCCCCATTGGAAGATTTCCCCTCTAATTCTGTTCTGATGGCAACTAAAATTTGGGATTTATTTTATTTTCATTCAAGTTGACACTGGAAAGCATAACATTTTAGGAAGACTGAATCTCCTTAACTGGGACACAGACAGCAATAAACACCTGATAGGGGGTCTAACGTCTCCCACTTTATTCAAATCTAAAAATGTTTAGCATTTAGTTATACTTTAAGTTCTAAAAGGGCAAGCTTTTGATAGGATCAGAGTACCACTACCTGGTCCTTAGCATCCACCTTTTAGGGACAATTGATATACACTGCTCAAAAAAAAATAAAGGAACATTTTTTTTATTCCAAAAAACAAAGTTTATTGAAAACAAGATACAAATTATCACACGAAAATGTACAGATGAAGTGTACATAGGACATACAGCAAAGCATGTATCATATAGAGGCAAATGAGGTCCAACGTAAAACCAAACATTGTGGATGAACTAGGCCACGACAGGGTTGTGCCTGTAATATTTAGGTATGCTTGTCAAGTGCTAAAAAGAAAGAGACGTTTGGCCTCCTACCATATTGTCTTGCTGTAAAAATCTGTAGGGGGGAGACGAGCAAATACGATGCCTAAGTAGAAGTCAATACTACAGAATACGATGATGGAATTGTGCGAATGTAGGAGTAGTTGTCGTGTGAACCGCTGACGAATTGCGGGAGGTGATGCTGACCACCTACTCAATGTTCTATTGGAAAAATTGTCCGAAACGTGAAACGTGTATAAGCATATGAAAAGAAAAGAAAAGAGAAGGCAATAAAAAAGGGAAAGAAAGAGGAAGGGAAAAAAAAAAAAAAAAAGGGGGGGGAGGGGAGGGAGGAAGGGAAGCAAATATGGAGGGTATAATAAGAGAGGGGACAACCGTCAAAAATATCTTATCCTCAATACAAACAGTAGCGGGAGTGGGTGGAACCTACGCTTTCATCGGCGTCGAAAGAATGCGCGTGTAACACAGGGGGGAGTATGATAGCACCCTCGGGTCAAATACTACTAAATAACACTATCGAGAAGTCCAAATCAGGTTCAGATGGGCTGGTCCATGAGGGATCGATACTCCGGGGTAGTCAGAAAATGGGTCCAACAGGCCCATACGTGTGAGAATTTCGTAGGAGTGTCGAGGGCAGTCGCAACCAGTTCTTCCATGTCCGCCATCTTACCCACTCGGGTGAGCCATTCACGTATAGAGGGAGAGCGAGTGGAGCCCCACAGAACCGGAATACAGAGTCTGGCTGCGTTGATCATGTGCATGGCTAATGATTTAAAGTACTGAGCTCTGGGAAGGGAAGAATGATGGAGGAGGAATTGAGCAGGAGAGAGAGCTAAGGGTAAGGTACTTATAGACACTACTAACCTATGGACCTCCTGCCAAAATGGTTGAAGAATCGGGCAAGACCACCAAATGTGGAGAAAGGACCCATCCGGGGTCCCGCATCTCCAGCAGCTGTTGGGGAAGGCGGGGTTAAAATGATGAATTCTTGAGGGAGTTCGGTACCATCTAGAGGCTATTTTGTAGCTGTTTTCTTGTGTCGAGACATTGAGGGAACATTTATGAGAGTATTGGAAGACCAGGTCCCAGTCTGAGTCCGACAGCTCAGCATTAAGATCTCTCTTCCAAGCCCGACATGCGGGGAGGGAGTCATAAGACCGGCTCTCCACTAGAAGTGGGTAGATCTCCGAAATCAGATGTTTCCGCGGTTCAGCCTTCGCGCATGCAGATTCAAATGGGGTAAGAGAGCAATGCCAGTTATGAGGGGGTTTATGAGAGAGCAGGTAATGTCTGATCTGGAAATATACCCAGAAAGGGAATTCGCGAACACCCAGGCTTTCTTGCAATTCTCGGAGTGTTTTCACCCTGCCCTTGTGGAGAAAATGTTTCACTAAGATCTGTTTGTGTGGCCAGTGTTTTATTAAAAAGTCTTTATGCATTCCAGGGGGAAAGTCAGGGTTGAGGCGTATGGGGGTCAGGGGGTTGGGTGTGCCAGAAATGGCTTCAGATCTACAAGCCGAACGGAAAATTTTTAACGTAAGTCCCACCAAAGGATGGGTGAGAAGAACTTGTGGCGTGTGTTTCGGCGAAAGCCAAGGAATCGATGCCAGGGGGAAGGGCGAGCAAGCATTCTCTATAGATATCCAGTCTTTAGAGGCAGTGTGAACGGCACAATCAACTATCCGGGAGAGATGACACGCCCAATAGTAGCGGTAAAGATCAGGGAATCCTATACCCCCTTTAAGTTTAGAGAGGGTTAGTTGG